CAGCGGGAGGACAGGTTTTAAATTGTATTTTCATCTTGCTGAGCCAACCAAATTGCTCACGCTCTACAAGCCTTCGTCTTGCTCACTACTCACGTTTGGTTTTTTCGACCACCTCGTCTTTCAAGAAATGTTTGCAGTTGCAGGGGGTAAATCAACGCACTTGCCAGGACTTGCTCTGCTGGCAGCCGCGTTTCACAAGACCTGACCTGAAGTCTTGAGCAAGAAACCTTTCGAGCTAAAACAGACCACTGGCGGTCAATTTGTTTTGCGATGAAAACATTTTTGAAACCTGCGTGGTGTGCGTACATAGGTTCTGTTCAAAGTTGAAACGGCGGCTACCTCTTTTTTAGAGTTCAGAGTTCGAGCCACTCAAGAAAGCTGCATCAGCACACCTTCTCCGATCTCCCAATTCGGGCCCTCAACTCTGCTTAGCAGTTGCGTTCTCAGGGAGTCCAATTTGTCCCACTCCTATTTTTCCACTCCTATTTCTCCAATTTCTCCCAACTTTTCCACAGTGAGCCTTCCTGCCTCCTATTTCTCCAATTTCTCCCAACTTTTCCACAGTGAGCCTTCCTGCTTAATCATAAAATTAACGCACACCTCCTTTGCTATGAAGTGCAGTAGGAGAATTAGAGCGTAGTCAAAAACATAATCTCACGTTAAGCGCGTAAACGTTTTTGGATATTGGCTCAAGTCCATCCACTGGGTGTGAACCCATTGAGTGCAGGGATTGTGACCGGTGCAGTGCACAACCAGTCAGATCCACGCTGTTGCCTGCCAGACGCTGTGGTGAGTGTGAGGGATGTTCAAGCGACCTGCGCGACCTGCGCAGACCTAGGCTAGCGGTGATCAATTCGGACCTTCTGGGTTTGTTTCAGCGATTGGCTCAAGGCCAGGACCGACAATTCAGACAAAAAACAGAACATACGCTAGTCTTTTCAATATGCGGAGCGCTCTTTCGAAGCGCAACCTATGGCATGCAGAGACTTTGCAACACCAACAGTACATATTTGAAAAAGGCCATATGACTATGGCAAACCCCAACACATCCAAGAGCTTTCACATCCCTTTTTTGGCGCAAGGTAATTTTCCTCCAATGCCAGGGGTTTCCACCTCTGCGCGCATATGATCATTGGTTTTCTTACGAAAATCAACTCGATCTGAGTGAAAAGACCTGGTAAGGGCATACTTTGCGCAAATGGTTCGATATCGCCACTGGCTGTGGAATATCATCACAGCCTTCCCCAAGTCATCATACAGGGGGCAGGAAGCCGCCGTCCACAAGACCCCCTGGAAACCTAACAACTCAGCCTTCGGCCCAAATTTCCTCTCACCGATTCTACTCTCACACTTTTCAAGCGACCTATGTCCAATCCACCTGCGACAGTTACCAAACGCTCTCGACCTTCCATGGCCTCACACCTGCGGGACTCTGATGAACCTATCCTCGTCTCCACCACCTTCCCCAAGAAAGCTCGTCCGACAGCACCTCCTACCTCATTACGGACTACCTCTACTTCCTCGCCTTCATCGAGTACGAGTACCTCTATGGCTACTAGCTCCCCAGCGATTGACTCTACTCCAAAGACAGAGCGACCTTTGGTAGGGCTGCTTGTTAAGCTCAACGGCGAGGAGATCCCTTTTCTGATTCCCCGGCCAACACGTCCTTTTCGACTACCCGAGGCTAAGCCTTAATGTAACTTTATTTGATTTAATTTGTTTTCATTCACACTCACTCCCTCGACTTGCCGCAAAAATCAACCCTGGACCGCCTACCGTTGATGAATCACCATGAATTTCACATTGACCACCACTTTTCTATCTCTTCGATTCTTCCGCAGCCTTTCGGTTCTACCTTGGTACACTCCCTCTTCCTTGGCTCGATATGGACAATATGGACCTTCAACCAGAAGATGTGCGTGTCCCTTCAGGCGACTCCTCGCCGACACAAGCTCCTCCCGATGACAGCCTTTCCCAACAGGAACACACGGCTGACCTCGTAACTCCTGTGGACCCTGCTCTCTCGACGAGCATCCCCCGCTCCGAGAACCAGTACAACGAGGACTATACTGACTACGCTCGTCAAGTTCACAATTCAACTCACGGAGCTTGGCCTGTCGCTGAACCATTCGAGGAATGGGCCTGTCGCCGATCCCATCAAGAACGCTATTGGTTCTATCGCGCTTGGTTTCACCACAAGACCCTTCCTTGGGATCACGAAGACATTGAATATTACAAATCCGCAACCGGTTACTTTATAGACGATCACCCCGCCTCTCACTGGCCTGCGGCTTTTTCACGAGTGTGGGGCACCCGGGGCTGGCAACTTGTGCTCTCCGCTACACACAGCCTTTCCATTTGGACACAATGCGAAAAATATGATGCCGCTCTTCGTGCTGAAGAGGAACGCATCGCTGCTGAAGAAGAACGTCTCGCTGCTGCCCAACAACTCAGCCGCGAACCTGCTCCCCGCAGAGGCCAAAAGAGACAGGCTGTGGACAATCTGGAACATCTCAACGTCCAATACCAAATCGAGGCCCTTTTACACAATTTCTCCCACCTTGGCGTCTCTAAGGTACCCATGCTCCAGGGCCTACCTGCCCCACAACAAGAACAACTCATCAGCGGGGTCGTCCACACCCTCACTACATACCGCGATGAACTTCATCAATCTTACCGACCAGACGATCCTCCCGGCCATTCAACTGCGTCTTCTTCAGCCCCTGTGGACTACATTCCTACCACTGACCCTCTCAGCGGCGGCGCTGGACTTCCACTTCCTTTGCCAGATTCGGGATCTATGTCATTGAACTCTACTTCGACTGAATCTCAGAACACTTTGGAGCCTCCCTTTCCTACAGATCGCCCTCGTGATTGACCTCAGGTTCAGACCTACACCGCTTCCTTGAACTCAGAACCCTCTTCGTCACGCAGTGAAAAGATCCGTCACCTCCTTTGCGCCTGGATGTTTCCTTGTTTATTTTTTCCGTTCTATTTTGCCTCCACATAATTGCACTCTTGACTGTTCTTCCCCGCAGCCATTGGTTCCGATTAATTCCTTTGCCCTCGCCCACTATCTTTCCGTCCGTCAACCTTCTCGATGATCTCGTCTCCGGGTCTTCGCGTACCTGAGCCTCTGACACATTTGATTCCTACATCTCGCACTTCTTGGAGCGAAGTTCGTCAACCCATCGAAACCCTGGACATGGTTCCTGACCTTTCTACCATCCGCTTCGAACTGGATGTCAGCCTGCTTGTCTATCAACCCCTGAACTACATCACTGTGACCCTGGATTGGCAACAGATTGACACCAAAGAGTACACAGTTGACGATCTCAAAGATGTGATCTACTCCCGCTTAGGTCAACATCGTACGGCCTTCTGGATGGCCCTTCCCTCGACAGGTGATTCACGCGTATGGGAAGTCCCACACACCTGTACCCTTGAAGACCTTGTCCTCTACTATGCCAACTCACGAAGGGTCCGCCCACAGGGACTCGCCACTGAGTACCCCCGTGACTCCGTTCCTTTTCCCTATCGACCCCTCCACACAGTCGCTCCTCGTCTTCATGATGATGCCATTGGTCAACTGCGCCTACCACTGACCGCCTATCAGACCTACCGTGAGATCCGTCGCTTCACTTAGTTTCACCCTACTCTCGGCGTGGCGAGGGGAGGCGTGTGTGTAACCCTTGGACTCATAGGGATCCTTTTGGATTTGTTTCAGTTTCATTGCAGGGGAGCGGTGGGCATTCTTGAAGTCACCGCCCCACGAAGACACTTCAAGTTTGCTGTGATATGGATTCTGGACGCAGAATCCACGTACCTGCATTTTCCTTTTCCGCATGGCAAGAGGCTAAGCCAAGAACCTCATTAGTTGCTGCAGACATGCACGGAACGCCGTCAACTTGTCGTCTCGTCGGTTCGTGGCCTTTAACTACAGGAACTCTGGTCCCCTGCCCCTGGTTTTTCAGGATTTGGGTCTCTTAGGCCGGCGTGTGGCACCGCATTCACATCAGTACGCATATCCATGAGTGTGTGTGTGTGTGCAAGGTGATATCCGGCTTTCAATCCAACGGAAGCATCACACGCACAAACACAGAAGCGTACATGACCATAGCTAGTGACGCGAAAGCAGGGAATATTTCGACCGAATGTTTTTGTCAGCTTCAAACTTGCATTGGGGAAAGGATGGGTGGCATAGAAAACCCGTGAAATTGAGTAGGACGCGGCAACCCACGCTTAAGGTTATATCATTATCCTTCTCTTGACACTACAGATTCACGAAGATGAACTCACAGGAGCGCAGGGCAGTTGAAGAGGAATATAATTTGTTCGCAATGTCTTGTGACCCCGTTGTCGATTCCACATCTTCCCCGGATTGTTTTGAGGAACTTGGCTATATGCTGGTTGTGGGCCGTCTGGAAGGAGCGACTTTGCGTCATTGTTTTCCCCAAGTCATTGAGAAACCCCGACATGTGGGGTTATGTCGTGACAGTTTGACTTATAATATGTGACACTCATTGGCCAGGCTCAGAAGACAACCTGACACATTGGAAGGAAAGTGTTGTCGGAGATGCTGTGGACAAGGTTGGGTTTCTTCCTGTCGCTTTGCAGAAAAGATGTTGCCATACGTTATGCTTTGATTTTGGATAAGGTAGTTTGGATTCCGGTTTTTTCCGAACACCAGCTGCCCACTGGATGGCTGTAAATCGATACGCGTTCTTGACTGATTCAACCAGGCTCAAGCGGAAACTGGCACCCCAAATCGGCGCAGACACCTTTGCATGATAGGTGCGAACAAAGAACATGTACCACACTACAGGCTAAGCGCCGCCACCCAATCTGGCCCACGCAAACTGGGTGCCAACCGTCATGCACGAAAGCAGACGCACAAACCACCCAAAAACCAAACAACCAAACCGATGTTTAGTTATTTTTGTGTTGGACATTGCCCCCCCCAAAAAAAATATTTCCCAACCTGTGTTGTGGTTTTCGCCATGGATTTCATCTCGCCCCTGCCAGTGAGTGTTGGTGAGCTACGGCAGCGGATCCTGTCGAGATGGTGCACTCTAGAAGAGGTCCCGAGAGGAAACGTTTTTACGGATAGTGTAAAGGAAAAGTGACACGGATGCGTCAAGTTTAAATTTGACATTTTTCAGTGGTTTCATGAGTAAGAGCTGTGGCTGCGGCATGGCTTGCAAGTGGTGAAACAATCAGGCCGTGCAGGTTGCTCAGCTGCCTGACAGGCGAAACCGGAGTGGACGGGCAGAACGTCTTGGAAAATTGTCCTTTGTCATCACCAGCTCCCTGATGACCTTTTGCATGTTCAAATGCCGCAGGTTGACCTACTTTGAGATGCGGAGATTCTTGTGTGAGGACGCGTCAGCTTTACAGGCCTTCGTAGTGACTGGAACCAGGAAGGTGAATCTTGCTCATGGACAGGGGCCATCATCACCTGAACCTGTTGCCTTGGCGCTACTGCTGCGGCCTTGGGGGATTTGGATACCAAAACGCAGGCGTTCCATATCGCTTGTTTGCATGCACTCGCCAGTGAGGAAAAAATCCAAGGTCAGTGCCTGAGGAGTGCGAACTGCCCGTCACGCAGCCCAGCAGACTAGAGGCGCGCATAGGCCAAGCATTAATTTGTTTCTACGGCGATACTGTACATAGAAGCAGCGCAGAGAACGAAAACACATTTGTAGTCATCATGTGCTCTTCCTCATTGGATGCCCGAGCAGGCGGGTATTTTGAAGGTCTTCATCAAACTGTGCAAGGCGTGCGAGTTCTTTGTTTCCATGCTTGTGACGGCCTCTATATGTTGTAACATTTTGCGCTCCGCAGGATGAGCAAGTAGACCCCGCGCAGTGCAATGCCTCTGTGTCCAGACAAGGCCTCCTCTTCGAGCTTTCGCAAGGGACCCTAGTGAACCAAGCGCTACTGGAATTGGAGGCGGAGTGGGTTGCAACAGACCACCCTGAGGCGCTTTGCAGCAAGGGAAGGTTTTCGCTCCTGGTCTTCTCGGGCCTTGCTAACCGGTGAGGGCAACTGGGTTAAAGACAAAACCATGTCTGAGCAAAACTTTTGAAGATCTCCCTGACTTGATGACTTGATGAATCTCTGAGGGTTCAATTCTACGCTGCTCTGAACGAAAGGTGGGAATGAGAGCAAACTTTGATCGTGTATGAACTTAGGTGCACCAGTCGATTCAGACTTGAGTGAAGATGCGTTCTGCGAAGTGGTTGTGCGACAAAACGGGCACCTGGAAGATGCACAGGATGGTTGCAAAGTCTTCTACTACATGTGTATTGCCCCCAGACACACAACTGAATCCCACAAACTTCTTGGTTTCAAGCTGCGAATCCCTGTGTGATGTGGTTCCAGGAGTGGTTTGACTTGCTGTGCCCTTCCACGTCTACGGCCAAACCTTCCCAAGCTCCGGCAAAGCTTCTGGAGTTTCTTGTCCATGGACCGTTGGAAGAGGTTGGAACACGATGAATGAAGATGCAAAACCTGGAAGATGCAGAGCCAAGGCCTGCGGCTTTGACACAGCAAGCACTCAGCTGGCCGAAGCTGCCTGGCGCCCTGGACGCTTCAGAGCCGTGGCAACTCTCAGCTCCTTGGCAGTTTTATCAAGGAAAGGACCGGATTCTGTGTGCAATATGGCTTCGAGGTGGAACACGTGCTTTGCCATTGGTCTGTATGGGGAGGGTGCAAGTTGAAGGTGCAGACAAGCATTCTTGGAAACATTTTTCTTCAACATAAGGAATTGGTGGTGAGACTGGTTTCTGTGTGGGGTGACCTCACGGCAGCCTTTGGTCTGGACGCCGTGAAGGACAGGGATCTTGGACTAGCTGGTTTGTCTTCTGCTGCTTTATGATATTTCAATGGTGATTTGGTAGGCTTTGGTAGACCAACATTCCAACATGTTCTGAATTGCTTTTGAGGAAGAAGAGGCTTCAACGAGAGGTGCAAGTCCTGCCCGCGCCTCCAAAGATGGTGTGAAAAGTATGGCAGTGCAGCATCTTGGCCGCAGCGCTTACAGATGGCGATGGCCTCCAACCTAAGAGCGATGGCCTCCCTGGCAGAGTCTGTTTGCTGTGGTTTTAGCATCTCTTTGGCTCAGGCCGGCTGCTCCAGCAGTGCGACGGCGGCGACGTCTGACCACCAGGACGACTGATTTTTTTTGCAATGGCTTCTCTTTTCTTCTGCGTGCATATGGGAAAGGATGCCAATGGTGAACTACACCGACCAAATATATAGTAATAATGTGCCAACATGAGGGAAGCAGCTGCTGCTGTTCGTGTGTCTGACAAGGCAATGGCTGCGCGCGCTTCGAGGGAAACCTGGTCGGCTGCTATTGAGCCACTTGGAATTTTGCACATTGAAATTGAAACGTGTAAACGCTTTTTGAGTCTTGAGTCATAAGAGGTGGGTACGTTCCCCGGTCTGTTTACCAGGTGAGATGGAAGCCCGAACAGAGTCGGAGAGGCTGGCTTTGCTGCCTCACACGGTGGACAGGCTGGAGACGGTTGGAATGCTTCTCCCTTTGCGATGAGTCACCGGACCTGCATCCGCCTATCAGACATCATCAGGCTCTTTTCGAATCTATCTGACCGTCTCCTGGTGACAAAGAACCTTTGGCTACCTGATGAGTTGATTCCAGTGCGCTACTCCCTGAGCCAGGAGCTTGATCTTTGAAAGAAATTGTGGACATACGCTGGAAGGTTAAGGCTTTCCCTGTCTATATAAAGACTTCTCATACTGAGGTGAACTTGGCTTTTGGGGATGTGGAGGACCTGCACCTTTGGAGCCTCAGAGGAAATTGGTTATATATAGAGTGCCATACGTGAGAGCACAGCCTTAACAAGAAGCCAGCAACAAGAAGCATTTTCCACTTTGAGCAGCTCGCCTTGCTGAGGCAGTTGGCAGGAAGCTTCCGCTTGGGCGACGGCCCTTTATCACCTTTGTCCCCTCACAGCCAGAGCTGGCAGGTTTTGAGGACTCATTGAGTGCATGGCTCAAGTGGGCCAACCCCGCACGGGTCGAGCGAGGTACCGTGGTGAGAGCGTTGGCAAGTTTCCTTTTTGTAACATGTTGGCGCAGGATTCCACGCATCCCAGCCGTGCTTTGGTTTCCCCGCACGTGGCAAGTGGTGTGGCATGGCTTCGTGCACCAAAGCCTCCAAATGGTGCAGAGTTGGCCGCTACGGCTGTAGAGCAGAGGTTAATCGAGCCTTCCAGAGTGAAGGTGAGCGTGAAGGGGTTTGCTCAAATCACTCCTTGAACCTGTTGCTTTTGATCACTCCTTGAACCTGTTGCTTTTGATGTTCCTAGGTGAGTTGGCATCTTCAGTTGTTCTCATCAGAGGATGGGGTCACACCATTGGTGTCTGTGAGCCAGCCGCTCCTTATCCAGGCCGGTTCTTGAAAATCATTTTGTCATATCTTGTCTACATTCAGTCCTGACATTCCGTGCCCAGTCCGGGCCATTCCAAGGGGCCAGTCCTTCCACAAGCATGCAACCTGTGAAATGTATAGAAAGGTACAGCTGCCCGGTATTCTTTTTCTGCAGCGGTAGATAGTTCCAATGGTCGATGCAAGTTCCTGGTTTCCTGTGTGGACTTTGGCTTTTGGACGCGGGATGTGGCTTGACCAGTAGCATGGGCGCCAAACATCGCCAACCGTTCGTTTTCTCGCCATGTGTCGGTGCGTGTGTGTGTCTCTCTCTCTCTCTCCCTCTCCCCTCCTTTGCCTCTTGCTTTCTTTTCTTCTTTCTTGGGTGGCTTCTGCGATGAATCTGTGCACTAAGAAGGCGTTTGTTTCGTTGTTTGCTTGTGTTTGCGTTGTTCCATCTGTCTGGCTGTTGGGCTGGCTGTTTGTTTGTCTACCTGTCTGTCCTATGTCTCCTATCATTGTTTTTCCTTTGTTTATGTAACAATATATATATATATATTTATTTATCACGAAAGCTAGCGAAGCTAGCTGGAGTTACTCTTGCGATAGCAAGGTTTCTTTCGATCGGGTGCAAATCCTAACCCCTGATTTTTCAGGTCGAAGCCCCCCCCC